AAGTTATTATCATGTATTAAAGTTTTTTATATGATGAAGTATATATGTATAATTAATTGTATATATATTTGATTAGGTTATTGTTTTTGTTACACTATAATTTTTTATATAACATTTCATCCTTTTTGGCCATTTTAAATTTTTTATATGTAAAATTATAAAGACTCCCAATTCTTTACTGATATTTCATTTAAATCTAGGTTCCAATACAAGTTCCTATTTGGGTACCCAGACTCGGTTTTAAGTACCCACCAGGGTACCCGTTTTCGATTCCCATCACCAGTTCCGGTTCCTGCACATATAGGAACCGAAACCTACTCGTAAATTGTCAGTTCCGGGTAGATTCCGGTTCCGGTTTTACCTGTCGGTTCCAGTTCTATTCGCTATCCGTGCTCACTCCTAAAACAACATGCTAGAACGAATAAAAAATTTTGTATGATAAATATCACTTAAGTCCACAAAATTGGCAAATATATGTCTTTTTGATATTTTTCAAAATATTAGGGCTTTTATTGATATGAAAAAACAAGCCGGTTAGAAAGAAAACGACATGTCAGATAAATAGAAAAATATTAATTTGTTTCAACCAAGTTTTTCCAGCCTTTAAACTTGGTTAAGGCTTCATCTTTGGACCTAAGTAGGTACACCCATACCTTTCTGCTATAGTCATCCACAATGGAGAGGAAATAACAATTTCCTCCATGTGTCCTAACCCTTTCAGGGCCCCACAGGTCTGCATGAATATAGTCTAACCCTTTTTCAGCCAGGTGAGTCCCCTTTTGGAAACTCATTCTGTGCTGTTTTCCTAACACACACACTTCACAGAAAGTTAAATCAGATATTGATTCCTTACCAAAGTACCCATGTTGGCTTAGCACTGTCATACCTTTTTGGCCTATGTGGCCAAGTCTCAGATGCCATTTCTCTGCAGCAGTCAGATTTGTGGATGGTGGTGCAGACTTTACAGTGAGTGCACACTGTTGACCACACAGAATGTATAGCCCATTTTGTTTGACCCCTTCAAGTAGTATTTCATTATTCTTGTACACCACTATGGATCCTTTTTCTGCCTTATAACTACATCCAGCTTCATCCAAAGTTCCCAAGGAGACCAGGTTTCTTTTTAGGTCAGGTATATACCTCACTTTGGTTAGCATTATGATTTTGCCATTGTTCAACCTAATGGTTATGTTTCCTATGCCTTGAACCTTACAAGAGTGATTATTGCCCATGAAGACAGTTTCTAACTCTCCCTTCTTAAAGTTCTGGAACCACTGGATGTTGGGACTCATATGAAACGTGCACCCTGAATCTAGGACCCATTCCTTACTGCTAGCATAGTTTGAGATAGTGAGGGCTTCTGAAACTTCAATGCCAGTGCTAGTGCTAGCTAGGTTACTCTCTGTATTTTGCTATTTTTGTTTCTTTATCCAATCATAGCAGTTCTTCTTAAGGTGGCCAGGTTTATTACAGTGGAAGCACTTCCTAGTTTCTCCCTTAGACTTGTTATTCTTCCCCTTTTTCTTAGCCCTAGGGTTTATGTGTTGTTGAAAGATCTTATTGCTATCCTTTCCTGATTGTCCTGGATTTGATCTACCTTTGACAAACAGATTATTTCCATTCCTTTTCTGTATCTTCAACTCCAACTCCCTAGATTTAAGACCTGCTATGATCAGGTCAACACTGGGAACTGTCCCAGTGTATTGTAGAGCATTCTTAACCACCAAGTACTCATCAGGTAGTGAATTTAACAATATCATTGCCAGACTGGAGTCTCCCAACTCCTGATCTGTGCCTTTCAATACTAATGTCATCTTAAGAAACTCATCAAGGTTTTCTTCTACAGACTTAGTAACATCCATCTTATACGAAAATAGGGCTCCTTTCAGAAATGCTAAGTTAGGTGCAGACTGTAAGGAATAAAGGGATTCGAGTTTACCCCAAAGTGTGAGCGGTGTTTCCATGCCATCAACCTTTCGCAGGACTGCATCGGACAGATTCATTATGATAAGATTGTAGGCCTCCTCATCCACTTCAGCCTTTTTTTTCAGTTTCTCTTCAGACCACTTAGAGGCATCTCTTTCTAAAGCAAGCCCAACTTTATTATGCGAAAGAAGGGCTTTCATCTTTTTTTTCCATGTATTAAAGTCGATCTTCCCATCATATTGGGAGATCTCCATACGAGTAGTACTCATTAAATTTTAGTGGCAAGACAGAACAGTCAAGGGTACGTGGCGTTGTTATACCAGAATTCGCCAATTACTGCCAGGCAGTTTTTAAGGCAGTTACTGGTGTTCCAGCCTAAACACCCTTAAACAGTATCACACAAATGCAAGAACACAACCAGGACTAAAGTGACAAGACTAACACGGCTAAAACCGTCAAAGGGTACGTGGCGTTGTTATACCAGAATTCGCCAATTACTGCCAAGCAGTTTTTAAGGCAGTTACTGGTGTTCCAGCCTAAACACCCTTAGACAAGACCTAGACCTTTTTCCCTTGACTCGTGTTTGTGACCCAGACCAATCAATACGACCTGATTCAAGACTAATTTCGAAAACCCTAAGGCACTATAAGCCTTTAATCCGAAAACCCCCAAATCTGACAAACCCTAATTTTAGGATTTGTACAAAGTTCGTCGATTCCTTGTGCCTGTAACTCAATCTCACGAATTTAACCCCCAAGACTTAGCAAGATCTGAAGTCCTAACGATCCAGGATCTTGAAATCGAAAAAACCCCCAAATCTGACAAACCCTAATTTTAGAATTTGTACGAAAGTCCAAACGATTTCTAACCCTAAATCCCCTTAGAACTTTCTAGCTCTGATACCACTGTTATAACCTAAGCCTAGTAAACAAATCCGCAACACAAACAACACACACGATTAAAGATCAAGAAAATCACACACAAATACACAAGGCACAATTTTACCGTGGTTCGTCTATCCAATCTTGGATAGACTACATCCACGTTGAGCTCCGAAACTCTGGAAGCCCACTGCACTAATGAGACAGTTAAAGAATACAAGAAGAACACAGTTACAAGTCTGCCTCAAACAAACTACCACCCACTACGGCCTAATCACTCCAGAACCTCTCTACAATCTGCAAGAAACAGAGGACAAACCAGCCTCTAGAAGGAAACTCAACCCTCTCTCACTCAAAGCAGACTAACCCAGAAAGATTCAACAGAAGGAAAAACCTAGCCCGAGTGTATTCCCCCTTTTGTAACCCTAATGCTCTGATTAACAAAAATACGCGTTCCTTTAAGTGTCACTGTTGGGCTTCTTTATATACTAAGTCATCAGCAGTTCTCAGCCCTTGGATCTGTCTTGATCTGATGGCTGAAACTTGGTAATGGCTTTAAACAAAACAACCCCGTTTTGACTCAAGTGAAACGGCTCCGTTTTTGGCTTCACAAAACTTTCAGCTTGATATAGAGGGGGGCCCTTTGCCGGCGAAGTCGCGGCCCAAGTAGCCATTTCAGCTGGAGGCAAAAGGAGCATTGGCTCCTGCAGGGAAGCTTTAGACTTTTCTTTCTCTTTATTTTCCCTGCTTATCCTCTGCCTCTCCAGAAGCCTGTTCTTCGCCTGAATTCTCCTCGTTGCCTGCAACTCCCTCATATTTATAAGCCTCTACTGTTGCTCTCTCTCAGCCGGCAGAGAACAAGACCTCTCCAATGAAAAAACTCTTCTCTCACCTTCCCCAGAGTCCTTTCTCTGAGTCATGAATCCAGCCACTGAAGACGACCTTGTTAGCGAGTTCTCACCCTCGAAGTTAATTCCCAAAAAGAGTTGAAGATTGAGGTCTGGTTCATGAAGAGATTCTGAATTTGACTGTTGGCTTTGCTTTGGATTTTCTCTGTCAGGTGAAAACCTCTCCAAAAGATTTGTGGGGTGTTCTTTATTTTCCTTCATTAGCACTCCATTGTTTCCCTCCATGTCAACTAAAGTTCTCCTCTTCTGTCACAAGAAACCAGACAATGTAGAAGCTCAAAAAGATGAAAGTAAACAAAGAAAAAGGTGACAAAACAAGAAAAGCTTACTGGGTTAGCGATAAAATGCAGTGCAGAATCAAAAACCAAAAGCTATGGACGAAGAAGAAGAGTTATTTTAAGAAATTTTTTTTTTTTTAAAACGTACGTTGGGACGGCCGTCCCTAAAGTTTTTCTTTTTTTATTTTCATATTTTGGTTAAGCGGACGCCCGTCCAAAATGAAGGGACGGCCGTCCATAACGGATGAACGGCCGTCCCTAATATTTATAAAAAAAATTTTATTGTATTTTATTCAGGGACAGGCGTCCTTTAAATGGGGACGTCCGTCCCTAGTATATGGACCCCCGTCCATATAATATGGACGGGGGTCCATGTGAGTGAACGGCCGTTCACTAGAAAAGAATTGAAAAAAAATTCACACGACTAATACACGTAGGCCAATACACAATTTCGGTGTAATTTTTACGGTGTCCATAGTGTTGTTGTAAGGCAAATTAAGATTTACGGAATTTATAATGTGATGATTGGCGTCCGTATGAAGATCATCCGAGTAATCACATGAGTGTGTATTAACATTAACATTATTTTATTTTATTTTATTTTTTATTTTTTATGCGTACAAATTAGTTTGGACACCCTCACTGAATAAAAAAAAAAAAACATTACCGATATTTTCAGATAATGTAAGTAAAGTAAGAACAAATATTATTAAATATTATCCGTTCTGTTAAAAGGATTTTAGGACTTAGGCAGATTATGAACGTAATAACTAAAACTAGATACAAAATTCCAAAGAAGAGAAAACGATGAGTCTTCCAGCAAGACTTTGTCACAAACTGATCGAATATTTCTCACCAGAACTCAACTGTGTCTAAACAAAAATCTGCCACCAATCCCACAAACTCTGCATGAAAGACACGTATCTCTGTCTACTCTTCTCCTTCTTTCTTTATAAACACCTACCACTTTTGCATTTCCAGCACACTAAACACAATCTCATCATCATCAAAATCAAACTGCTAAGCTATGAGAAATCTGGTCACTTTTTTGCTGTTAGTGCTGGTTTTCAGTCATGCGCTGACCATGACAATGGGGTATAGAGATGAAGATGAGGATGAAGATTGGAAGCCGGAAAGAGAATGGGAGAGAGAGAGGGAGAGAGAGGAGAGGGGTGGTGAAGAAGAAGAAGATGAAAGATCAGGTCGTGGAGAGGAAAGGTTCTTGTTGCAAGACGCAAAGCGTGTAGTGAAGACTGAGGCTGGTGATGTGCGTGTCATAACTAGTGTTGGAGGAAGAATTGTGGACAGGCCGATGCATATTGGGTTCGTTTCTATGGAGCCCAAGAGTCTCTTCATTCCTCAGTATATTGACTCAAATTTGATCCTCTTCGTTCGCAGAGGTATGCAACATTCTCTATTTTACCTTCCTTTTCAGCTAAGAAAAGGCTAAAAAAGTACTAAATGATGGCAGCTGATGTGATATACATGTGAAATTGGTTGCAGGGGAAGCCAGAGTTGGATGCATCTACAAAGATGACCTGGTGGAAAAGACATTGAAGGTTGGTGACGTGTTCCGTATTCCGGCCGGTTCAGCATTCTATTTGGTGAACACGGGGGAAGGACAGAAGCTTCATATCATTTGCAGCATTGACCCATCTGAGAGTTTGGGATTGAGAGCTTTCCAGGTACTTGAAATTTACTTAGTATAAGTTCAATAATCACATAACAGTATAATTTGTCCGAATTAATTTGCTCATTCAGAAGTTCTGATACTTTTTTCTGTAATCCGCAGTCTTTCTTCATCGGTGGAGGATCATATCCCACGTCTATTCTAGCTGGATTCGGCCACGAAACACTTTCAAATGCTTTTAATGTAAGCTAATTTACTTGCTTTATTAGCAACTATTTCACTTATCTATGGCGACTTCTATTGTTACGAGAAATTAAACATACTGAATTTCATCACAGGTCAGCAGCGACGAAGTGGAGGATATCTTAAACAGGCAACAAGATGGTCCAATTGTGTACATATCTGATTCTCATGCGCCAAGCATGTGGTCAAAATTCTTGCAACTGAAAGAGCAAGAGAGACTACAACACCTAAAGAGAATGGTGGAGTTCCAACAAGAGCCACAAGAACAAGAACAAAAAACTTGGTCGTGGAGGAAACTCTTGAACTCGGTATTCGGAGCCGAAGATAGGAAGGATACCAGAGCAACCCGTAGATCCCCAGACGCATACAACATCTACAAAAGACGCCCTGACTTCAAGAACAACTATGGATGGAGTGTTGCTCTTGATGGGTCTGATTATAAACCTCTTAAACATTCCGGCATTGGTGTTTATCTGGTTAATCTTACAGCGGTAATGAGAAATTCAGATAGTATATAAATGAATACTCACATTGTCCTGAATGTTACACTTCAATTGATTCTTTCTATTGCAGGGATCGATGATGGCACCACATGTGAATCCAACTGCTACTGAATATGGGGTTGTACTAAGAGGATCAGGAAGAATTCAAATAGTGTATCCAAACGGAAGCTCAGCTTTGGACGCAAAAGTGAAAGAAGGCGATGTGTTTTGGGTGCCGAGGTACTTTGCATTCTGCCAAATCGCATCAAGAACAGGGCCGTTTGAGTTTTTTGGATTCACAACCTCAGCACGGAAGAACAGGCCACAGTTCCTGGTAGGTGCGAGCTCACTTCTTCGGACTCTGCCTAACCCTGAGCTCGCGGCTTCTTTCGGAGTGAGCGAGGACCGGATTAGAAACTTCACCGATGCACAAAGTGAAGCTGTTATATTGCCTACTGCAGCAGCGGCACCACCAGATAAGACGGACAAGTATGAAAAGAAGATAGCGGCCAAGTTTGGGAAGTTGCCGAATATGGTCAGGAACTTCGGTAATGACATGATCATGGGGTTTGATTAAGGAAGCTCTGGAGGTGAATAAGATGATGATCGGCTAGAAAGTTTGTTTTGTAGAAGATCTTTTGTAGTGTCTAGTTCTTGTCTTTTTTTTCTTTTTTTTTTTTTTTTATTTGTTGTTTAATTTCGGTTTCATGGTTTGTTTATAAATCATGAGTTTTGAATTGTGAATAAACTGCAGTACTCCTGTTCGCAGTTAGCATTTTCAGTTTTCAGTGTCTAATGGTATGAATGAATGGTCAAATTAAAATCTATTGCAACACTAATTGTACATTAACCACCTTTGGGTGACATCCAAAGAGGTGGGACTAGGAATCTTGAATGTTGAATGTATTATTTAAGAGGTCATAAATTCAAGTCTTTTTTTGGTTCTTAATAGGAATAATCATTAGAAATTTTATATGAACGATAGTTTTAGGGCCACGGGAATAGTTTTAAAGTCCTAAAAGATTAGTTAAGTTGACATAAAAAAAAATTGTACATTAATTGAACAGCTGCGTCGGAAAGCATACTGTGGAATGTCGATCGCTGAATTATCTTCATAATCTACAGATGGTTAGGTCCAAAGGGATATTGAATCAGTAAAAATAATTGTTTTGGAAGAAGCGGAAAGGCTGCAATGAAAGCCAGAGGTTGGTACTTGATAGTGATAAAAAGTACAGTAATGATGATTTGTCACGTATAAGCAACATCTCTTAATGTGCATTTCCACTAGTAGCATAATGGAAGTACATGCGAAAATCACTGTGAAGCAATCTGAACCCTTTTGTTTTGCAAACTCTTTTTGCCATATTCTCCCCATTATTATTGACATTGCTCTAGGAAAATGATTTTCATGACCCGAAAATTATTTTATTATATTTTGTTTAATAATTAGATTTTTTTTGTATTGTGTTGACAGTTGTGCTACTTTTTGCGAAACCACGAATGTTTGGATGTTAATGACTAAAATGGTTATAGTTTACACATATTTCTACTAATCTTTTAAAGTCTGAAATTAATGGCCAAATAAGCTCCTAAATGACCACCTATTAAGACCCGTGAAAACTCAAAATCAAGAGTTTATATAATTTCTTTTCGTTTGTTTACTATCAAACCAATTAACGGTGGTTTTTCCTTCTGCATCTATTTCACGTCTTAGCCGTATTTGTCATTGTAGCCGAGATTGCAGTCTTACTTGCGATGTAGCCGAGGTTCTAGCACTACTTTATTCAAGAAGAAATTGTGTACGATCAATGACCGATGATGCCCAAGCGTCGCAACCAATCATCAGGAAATGCTTACAGATGGTTATGTTTGGGAGCTCCGAGTGGACATATATTATACAGTAGGACCGAGGTTTCATGACTATGCCCATTCAAGCGGTCGTAGTAGCAAAAATAAGAGAACCACAGTTCACTCGAAAGAGCTCACAAAGAGCAAGCTGTTGCAAAAGGCTACTGCATCTTTTACTAAGATCAATTTTGAAGAGATCAATTTCCGAGTAGAACAAGTACCTTACCAAAAGAGACCGTACCGGGGCATTGAATTAATACAAAATTTCAGGACTCGGGCTCTTACCTCTAACAAAACTAAATAACTCAATTTAGCAATGCAGCATTAGCTATCAAATTGAAACCATGATGTTTTAACATTTTGGGATTTGGTTCAGTAACACAAGAACTCATTTTAAAGCCTATAAAACCAAATCAAGAAAAGCAAATCCCGACTTCCATCACAACCAGTTGAGCACCAGATGATATCCAACTGCTCAACTTTAGCGGTACTGTAATGGATATGGATATAAAAACTGTCCACAAAAACAACATTAAACAGAACAGAAAATACGCCTAGCTACCATAGACCTCCAAAACACCTCACTTCTTCTTAGCTGCAGATTTGGTGACCTTGGCACCTGATGGGTCCTTCTTGTCGACACTCTTGATGACACCAACAGCCACTGTCTGACGCATGTCCCTAACAGCAAAACGACCAAGGGGAGGGTACTCAGAGAATGTCTCGACAACCATGGGCTTGGTTGGAACCATCTTAACGAACCCAGCATCACCATTCTTCAAGAACTTGGGCTCCTTCTCAAGCTCCTTGCCAGATCGTCTGTCAATCTTGGTCAAGATCTCAGAGAACTTAACAGCAATGTGGGAGGTGTGGCAGTCGAGCACTGGGGCATATCCATTACCAATCTGGCCAGGGTGGTTCATGATGATGACCTGAGAGGTGAAGTTAGCAGCCCCCTTGGCAGGATCATCCTTGGAGTTAGAAGCAACAAAACCACGCTTGAGATCCTTGACAGCAACATTCTTAACGTTGAAACCCACATTGTCACCAGGAAGAGCCTCCTGGAGAGCTTCATGGTGCATCTCAACGGACTTAACTTCAGTGGTCAGTCCAGTGGGGCCAAATGTAACAACCATACCAGGCTTGAGGACACCGGTTTCCACACGACCCACTGGTACAGTTCCAATACCACCAATCTTGTACACATCCTGAAGTGGAAGACGCAGGGGCTTGTCTGAGGGCCTCTTGGGCTCATTGATTTGATCAAGAGCCTCAAGGAGGGTTGGACCCTTGTACCAGTCGAGGTTGGTAGACCTCTCAATCATGTTGTCACCCTCAAAACCAGAGATGGGGACAAAGGGGATCTTGTCAGGGTTGTACCCGACCTTCTTCAGGTAGGAAGAGACTTCCTTCACGATTTCATCGTACCTGGCCTTGGAGTACTTGGGGGTAGTGGCATCCATCTAAAATGAATTGCACAAAATCAACATAAGTTCCAATCCCAGACTAAGATTTAAAAAGCAAAATCAATTAAGCACCATACAGCTTACAACCACAGTAATTAAACTTATGTAAAGCTAACCTTGTTACAACAGCAAATCATCTGCTTGACACCAAGGGTAAAAGCAAGCAAGGCATGCTCACGAGTCTGTCCGTCCTTGGAAATACCAGCTTCAAAACCACCAGTGGTGGAGTCGATGATAAGAACAGCGCAGTCAGCCTGTGAGGTACCAGTGATCATGTTCTTGATAAAGTCACGATGTCCGGGAGCATCAATGACAGTGCAGTAGTACCTGGTCGTCTCAAACTTCCACAAGGCAATATCAATGGTGATACCACGCTCACGCTCGGCCTTGAGTTTGTCAAGCACCCAGGCATACTTGAATGACCTCTTGTTCATTTCAGCAGCCTCCTTCTCAAACCTCTCAATCACACGCTTGTCAATACCTCCAAGCTTGTAGATCAAGTGACCGGTGGTGGTTGACTTTCCGGAGTCGACATGGCCAATGACCACAATGTTGATGTGAACCTTCTCCTTACCCATATTAAAGATTGATAACAAAAACTGATACAACAGAACAAAAACACAAGTTCAGAATTCAGAAAGCAAACCCTCAAACAAACCAATTACTAATAAAGAAATCCAAATCATACTAAAAGTTGACCACGCGATGAAACAATCGGTACCCACTAGATCAAGACCAACAATGTATGACAGCTTATTAGACTATGCCTTATCATCCTATAAAAAGGACAGTATATCAAAATCTCATTACCGAATTCACCCTTTCTATGGTGAGCCTTCAGTTTTAAAAACTATTCAAACTTAACATGAATAAGATAGATACACATACAGATATGAGCGGGTTATGTTTAAATCAAGAAAATCAAATTAACAACATATCCAACTAATGACACAAATAAAAAACATGCAATAATCATCGACTCATCTAGAGTGAACATTATAAGATCTAAATTCTAAGATATTAACTCACTTTCAAACAATAAACATTTGAATCCAAAACTAAAAGCACACTCACAAACTTCAAAAATCATCTGATAAATTATACAAGGCACATACAAAGATATACACTTTAAATCAAGCTAAAGAAGGAGAGAGATCTGAACCTTTCAGAAAGATAAACGAAATTGTAATGGATCTCTCTCGCCGCCCTGACCTTGAAGAAGCAGAAAGAGAGTGTGTTCGAAATGAGGGAAGGTTGTGGTTTTATAAAGAGATTGGCCAGTGTCCGTATGGCGTTTAGGGTTTTACTCTCCACCGTTGGATAACATAAACAAGATCCAACGGTGAAAAATATCAGGCTGCATGTCGGATGGATGTCTTCATTTTCGGATGGATGTCTTCATTTTCGGGTCATTTAACCCCTACGGCCTCCGTAGGTCCTCCAATTTCAAAAACTCCCACATGCCCCCCTTGAAAGTTGAAACAAACTATAGCTATTGAAATCCAAACGGTTTTTAGGGCAAAAGTGACTTTTCACTAGTAGTAAGTACTGATCAATAGTTAAGAGAATTTTTTGGATTTTAATTTGATCATGTCTAGATAAGAAGAATGATATATATATATATATAAAATGATCGGGATGTCCGAGCCAGTTTGTCAAAATTTGACTAATTTTCGGGGTTCATTAAATACCTTACAAACCCAATGTTCTAAGGTAATTTGAACCAAAAAAGTCAATGAATAAAACAAACTTTCTTAACCATCAGACAAACCCCTTGATGTTGTTTGTTGAGTCATACTACATAATGTAGTATGAACAAAATTGAAGCCATTTAATTTGTGAGAAATTCATCTACCGCCTAAATATTATTTAAATAAATTAAGGATAATAATTTATTATAAAACTATTTTATGAATTAAAATATGTTAACTATGGTTATCATATTTATAATAATATAATCGAATTTACTACACTTACATAACTCATATGATTTAAAGAGCATGACAATTTTAGAGGTGAAGTTATAAAATGCAATAAATTTGTTTAAACTAATTATTATTAATAAGCCATAAATAGTTAACTTGAAAATTATAGAATCCCAAATTGGACCAAGTTAATTGATTTTCAAATTGTTACTTATGATTTTAAGTGAAACTTATAATGTCACGCTTGAAAATTTTAATATTTATTTAATATCTATACCTAGTACTTGAAACCTTGGATAATATACATGAAACTCATAATACCGAGTTTTACGGGTTACGGCAACACACTTAAAACCTATAAATAGTTGAATAATATTTGAAACTTAAAATAATATATTTTAAACTCACAATATTATAAATGAAACTATAAATATTAAAAAAACAATTAATACGATTTTGATATTAATACCAGTATACTTGAAATTGTTAACATCAAACTTAATATTCTTAAATTAAAAATTATATTTTTCTATTTCTAAGAATTTAAATAAATTAACATATTTTTTATTTTAAATATATAGAAACCTGTAGTCTCGGGTCATTTTTAGAATTTGACATTGCTTAATTTACGTTAAAATTATCCAAAGTTGAATTATATCCATAATGAGAGATTTGAAACTATTAACACCCAATTAGAAAACTTTAACATAGAATTAATGAATTATAACTCATTCTTATTTATTAAATATTTCGAATTAACTTTTAAGTAATAACCCGCAATTACCTTTCTTTGATGAAATAATATTGCCACATGGCAAGCTTTAATTAATGAGCAAAAGTTTAGGAATCGAATTGAATTGGCGTAAGGTAGCAATTCCCGTTATAAAATATTTTATACAATTACAANTAATAGTAAACTTATGAAAATATGATTTTAATAAATAGAAATGATGAAGTAAAATTTTTAAGATATATCATAAATAACATTTCAAAACTTCTTTTCAGAAAAATAGTCGAGGGGAAATATTTAATGAGTAATACTACATTAATAATCCTCTCTTACAAATTTTTTCTCACAACCCTGACGTGGCAGTTTATAATTAATTAGTGAAACTCATACATGACCCATGTGGGACCCATTATAAACTGACTAATTACGAGCTGTCACGTCAAGATTGTGAGAGAAAGTTTGTGAGAAAAGGTTGTTAGTGCAATATTATTCTTATGTACTCTGTTAAGTTTTATGTCAAATGGAATAGTAAACGACTTAATAACACTTTCCTACCCAAAAAGTTTTAAAATACTACTTTTCTATCCAAAGTTAATATTTCATTACTACCCAAAGTCGATTCTTACAATGAAAATTCTCTCCGTCACCACCATTTGAACCTCCGATCTCCTCTCTATAAAACTTCTCTCACTCTAACACCTGATTTCTCATCAATTTTTGATCATCGCAAAGTTAATGTTTTTTATTTTTAGCTGATTTTCTGTTGATTTCAGTGACGAATATTCAATGGATCACTACCATTCGATTCATTGGCCTCAAATATACAAAACCCTTTTTACTTTGACTCCTGATAACTCGCCGAACATTGGCTGAGAAAGTGAAGTATATTCTAAGTATTTACAGAATATAAACTTTGAGTGGACAAATGGTATTTTGAAACTTTTGAGTGAGAAAGTGTCATTATAGCAAACCTCGGGTGGGAAAAAGTTGTTTACTCCAAATGGAATAATCAAAGATATTAAATGCTCATTGTTTAATCGTCTGAGTAGTCAGCGAAAAATGGGAATAATGGATTTGCTGGTAACTACTATTTTCAGGAGAATCTAGGAATATCCCAAACTTGAAGGGTAAGCAACCAAACTTTAAGGTATTCTTCGCAACCTTAAATGGGGAATATCCCAAACTTGAAGGGTAAGCAACCAAACTTTAAGGTATTCTTCGCAACCTTAAATGGTGCCCACAAAATATNAGCTTTAATTAATGAGCAAAAGTTTAGGAATCGAATTGAATTGGCGTAAGGTAGCAATTCCCGTTATAAAATATTTTATACAATTACAAATTTATATAAACACAAACATGAATTTCCTTTTATACAAATTTATGTAATCAAATCCCAGTTATAAAATATTTTATACAATTACGAATTTTTCTTTAAAGTTAAACAAACTTAAACCACGTTTGGTGCTTACCTAAGTGGGATATATTTGAGGAAATCATATTCAAAATTGTTAAGCCTCAAAAATCAGGGTTATCGTTAGCTTACGTTAGCAAGCACCAATCAGAGTTCATGAAAACTTCACGCCATTTAGGAGTTGCTACGTCGCTCCATGACAGAAAGAGTATGACTATCACCAACTTAACATATTCAGGTTTTGTCTATGAGTGATTGAGGGCCACGCACTTGTCCAAGCCCTAGGTAATTTGAGAATATTTCCTAAGTTATCAGCCAATGGGAGACAAGGAAAGACTTGCACGACACCTACCTATTTGCAGATTTGTAATCATTATCTTGAATTCCTCTACTATAAATAGATGACTCCCCTTCTCATTTTCGGAATTCTGATCCTGAACCCTAATTCTGATTGTAATCTTTATTTTCAGAATCAAGACGACCTACGAGAAAGATATTGGCTTGATATTCTCTATGAATATTAAGTTATTATACCTCTGCTCGTTGTTCGCTATACGCGACCTCTTGTAATCTCTCATATATAAAAGAAACAGTAGACGTAGAATTCGTTTTAAACATCCGAACCACTTTAAGAAACCATCTCTCATTTATTATTTGGTCTTTACATTCGATTATTCCAATCATTCACGTGTAATTTATAAGAACGGCTTAACACTTTGCACATACGAGTAATTGGTGTCAAAATCACCATCAATAAATATCTACTTTGAAACAAATTCAATGAATATTTATGACAATTTGGTAGTTTAGGTAAATGCCTTACAATTTCACATGATGATTGTATTTGTGTCAGATGGCTGACATATGTTTTGTAATTGCCTTAAATTGTCATAGTCTTATACTCACCTGTCCGTCCCNTACACCTTTTTTTTTCTCTCACAGGAGTGTTGCATTAGTATTTAAATAAAAAATTTGTGGTTTTAGTATCTGATTTAGATGGAAAATTAGGGTATTAAGAAGATTAAGTAATCTGACTCCAGAAAGTGAGAATAAAGAGTCTTCAGGGGCTGGAAGGATAAGATGCTTTGAGGTATCAGTAATAGTTATAATGCAATCCAGAGAATCCTTTCTTAAAATTGGATGACTTAAGTTTGGTATAGCAAAAGAAACTTTACATGGGTGGATTACGTGGACATTGTTGCCCTTCTTTGTGAAAGCATTTTGATGCCCAAATCTTATTTGCAAAAGCTTTCTGAGTGCTTATGTGCCAGATCAGTTTCATAAAAGCACACAATAGAAAGATGCACTAACTTGGGCACTTAGAAGGGACACAACTGCTGTTTCTGAACAGTTCTGTCACCTGCATCCTTTTTAGTTCCATGATGGGGACAACTATATACTTTTGATAAAAAAATAAAAATAAAAAGACTATTACTGGTAAATTAGCTAATTAAAAGACTCTTGCACAGCAAAATTATTTGATCAATGAACCCAAGTGCTACAAGTCCAAGGCTTTGCAAGTTGTTCTCACAGTTGAGCTATGACTGAAATTTTGAAGCCCCATTAGTTCAGTCGTTCCGGTATGATCTTGCTTAGTTCGGCTTAGCTATAATATTCTTTCTAATTAAATTACCAGATAGATTCAACTTGCACAAAGAACCATCTCTCTCTCTCTCCATCTCTGTCTTTTTTTTTTTTTCAATGGAAGTGCAACGGCATCTTGAATATATGAATAGATTGAGATACTTGACTTTGCTGGTGTTTCTTGTCTCATAGTGCATTCGTGAGGAAATGATTATTTCACTGCCATGTTGAGTGCCACAGTTAAAAGTAGATGTTTTTTATTTTCTCATGCTACTTTATTCCATCAAGTTTTGTATTGTGGTTTAGCCTCCATATGAGAACATGTCAATACATCTGTGAAGGGAAAAGAAAAAAGCTAGTCTATTTATTTAATCTTATCAATAAAATTACTCATTATAATATAATTAAAACATAAATGAATTGGAGACCAATTAATTCAATATAGGGAGAGGAGAGAGAGAGAGAGGNATGAGAAACCAAAACAGTCCATCTTTTATTCTTACTGCATTTATTCTTCTTCTTTCGCTTACTTTAACCCTAAATCATACAAAATCCGAAGTCATAACCTTAACTCCTGACACTTTCTCTGACAAGGTAACAGCATGCTAGATCCATATCACCATCTTTTGCTTAATATTCTGACTTATTAGTTTCTTTCATTTTGTTTTATATATAATCATTTATGCTTTTTTTTTTTTCATTAGATTTAGATGGGAAAAATTGTGCCGGGCTTTAAACGTTTCAGTATACAGAGATATTTAGGATATTCGGAAAACGGGTGATATTTGATTGTAGATTTTATGAGAGTAGCTATATTCAAATTTGTTTTTGTTTTTGTTGGTTCTTCATGATTTTGAGTTCATTATGGATACCAGAATTGAATGATGATTGCGTAATCAAAATCAGTGTAGAAAATAAAGGTGATGTTGATAGAGGTTTAACAAAGAGGGAAGAGAATTGAGAAGGGATCTTTAATGCGGTGGTAATAATAACATACTGTGTAGTACTGCAGTGAGAAGGTTGTTTGCATTTTTTCATTTTGCTCTTTATGCGCAGGTGAAGGAAAAAGACACCGCATGGTTCGTAAAATTTTGTGTTCCTTGGTGTAAGCATTGGTAAATTGTCTGAACTTTGTCAATCTGTGCTCTGATTAGGCTAGGTTTGATTTTAGATGTGTTTGTTAATGTTATTTGTGTACTAACAACTATGACAATGGAATTCAGTAAGAACTTGGGAACGTTATGGGAGGACCTGGGGAAGGCAATGGAAGGAGATGATGAAATAGAGGTTGGAGAAGTTGACTGTGGTGCAAGCAAATCTGTATGCTCCAAAGCTGACATTCATTCCTATCCTACGTTCAAGGTGTTTTATGACGGTGAAGAAGTTGCAAAATACCAAGGTAAAGTTTAAGCTTCATTCCTTTGCTAGATGGTTTGTTTGGTTGGTTATTTAATGTGATCTGTAATACTTATTACCATTCACTCTGATACATACTCTCAAACTCAGCCTTCAATTTTGGATGATCATTAGTTAAATCTTTATTTGCTATTGGTAGCCTTGTTTCTATTACCGTTATCTGGTTCTACAACTTATATACACCTTTTTTTTTCTCTCACAGGAGTGTTGCATTAGTATTTAAATAAAAAATTTGTGGTTTTAGTATCTGATTTAGATGGAAAATTAGGGTATTAAGAAGATTAAGTAATCTGACTCCAGAAAGTGAGAATAAAGAGTCTTCAGGGGCTGGAAGGATAAGATGCTTTGAGGTATCAGTAATAGTTATAATGCAATCCAGAGAATCCTTTCTTAAAATTGGATGACTTAAGTTTGGTATAGCAAAAGAAACTTTACATGGGTGGATTACGTGGACATTGTTGCCCTTCTTTGTGAAAGCATTTTGATGCCCAAATCTTATTTGCAAAAGCTTTCTGAGTGCTTATGTGCCAGTTCAGTTTCATAAAAGCACACAATAGAAAGATGCACTAACTTGGGCACTTAGAAGGGACACAACTGCTGTTTCTGAACAGTTCTGTCACCTGCATCCTTTTTAGTTCCATGATGGAGACAACTATATACTTTTGATAAAAAAATAAAAATAAAAAGACTATTACTGGTAAATTAGCTAATTAAAAGACTCTTGCACAGTAAAATTATTTGATCAATGAACCCAAGTGCTACAAGTCCAAGGCTTTGCAAGTTGTTCTCACAGTTGAGCTATGACTGAAATTTTGAAGCCCCATTAGTTCAGTCGTTCCGGTATGATCTTGCTTAGTTCGGCTTAGCTATAATAGTCTTTCTAATTAAATTACCAGATAGAGTCAACTTGCACAAAGAACCATCTCTCTCTCTCTCCATCTCTGTCTTTTTTTTTTTTTTAATGGAAGTGCAACGGCATCTTGAATATATGAATAGATTGAGATACTTGACTTTGCTGGTATTTCTTGTCTCATAGTGCATTCTTGAAAAAATGATTATTTCACTGCCATGTTGAGTGCCACAGTTAAAAGTAGATGTTTTTTATTTTCTCATGCTACTTTATCCATCAAGTTTTGTGTTGTGGTTTAGCCTCCATATGAGAACATGTCAATACATCTGTGAAGGGAAAAGAAAAAAGCTAGTCTATTTATTTAATCTTATCAATAAAATTACTCATTATAATATAATTAAAACATCAATGAATTGGAGACCAATTAATTCAATATAGGGAGAGGAGAGAGAGAGAGAGGAAAGTAACATAATGGAGCATGAAGTATGATATCTATTGGATGCATTTTGGTTTTGTAAAATGTATAATGTTCCAGAACTAGTAAGTTAAATGGTCAAGTAAACAGAGATAGTCTTTGTCCATAGTTGAAGAAAGAGTAGAATATTGAATGTAACAATTTCCAACTCTAATGAATGAACAAAGGTCATGTTATTGCATGCTCTTTAATTTCAGTGAGCAGACAATCAGAGCTTTATCATTGCTCATGTTTGGGTGCTGTTCTGTTGCAGCTGTTAATTAAAATCACCATGTAGATGCACTGTACTGCATTTATATCGATACAAAGTGCTTTGAAGGTGGTTAAGACCATTTGATAATCTCATCTGGCAATTCATAAGCAGCTAATCTTGATAATCAATTTCAGCATTCATATCCGTCTAAACGATTTTGTCAGCTATACTTTCTCTGGCTGCAATGTCAACATGAAGATGTTCATTAGATGACTATATTTGAATTGTGTGTCTGGTATTCATGTGCAGAAACTTTATGTGGAAATATTTCTGGTTCTCCTTGTGTTATTTAAAATAGGAATAGATGTTATACCCATCTCTTATATTTGGGGATTGCTGCCGAAGTATTTGTATATTGAACTGCTGTGTGCCAATGCTTTTGTATAGATAAATTTGTGGAATATCATTGGCTGAATAATCTTTCTTTTTTTTTTACTACTAATGGTCAGGTCGAAGAGATGTTGAATCACTGAAAACATTTGTTCTGGAAGAAGCAGAAAAGGCTGCAATGAAAGCAGAGGTTGATAGTGATAAGGAATTGTGATGATTTGTAAGGCATACAACAACATCTCTTAATGTGCATTACCATTTTGCAGCATAATGAGAAAATCTTTCTGAAGAAATCTAAAATTCTTTATAGTATTATGGACCTTACTCTAGGACATTGATTTCTATGACCGAAATGAATTTTAATTATATGCTGTTTGATAATTAGATGTTTTCATTTTGTTGCAGTTGTGGTTCTTCGTAATGAGACCAGGATACTGAGTAGCTCTTTCCAGCACGACACATGGTCTTATTTTCCACATCTTAGCTGGGTCATGAAGTCGTGGGTTACAGCAGCACGTCTCATCATAGATGTTTTTTGTTTACACCTTATGACAAGCATTTATTGAATAGAATGGATGTTAACAGAGACAAAAGGACCAATCTTGTAGTGAAGGACAATTTATATCTGGTAGTCAAGTACCCCTTTCTGGGAATTTTTGTGTTGATTTTCTTTAAAATTTCAAGTAGCTGTGACTTAAAAATTTTGATTATATGAAATGAAATATCATTTAATTACAGGTGTTTTGGCCATTCTGACGGCGTGGTTCCAGTATTGTTTTTATTAATGTTTTGATGACGCTCAAGCACATGTTGGCCTCCACCTGTAAAGGTTTTTAAATGTAATGGTGATAATGTCAGGGGAGAATATATACTTGTATACAGGGAAATTAAATGACCACAGCCCATCATATAGAATTCCCTTTAAATCACATTTTGTACCCAGACGAAGCCTCAAAGCTCGAACCAAAATCCAGAACTCGCGAAAGCAATTTTAAAAAAAAAAATGGAAAAGGTTAATAAACCTTTACACATAAGCTGAAATATCCTGAGAAAGATTCTCTTAACTATTGCTTGGACTTTTCTTAACCAGAAAAACATAACACAATCATTATTGCAAACAAGGTGTTATCTTGGCCATGGTTTAAATGCATCTAATTAGTAATTACCCATTTCAACGTCTGTACTAAGAACTAAGAAGATAATTTTCCTAGCATTACGTAGAAAGAACTTTAAAATTTTAACAGAACTAAACTCAATCTAAAATGAAAAATTAGGTAATAAATTAAAACCATTGAGTTTGGACATTCAACTTCACACCTAATTTTAAAGCTATCTTAGAAACCCAATAAAGAAACAGAAAATCCCGACTTCCATCACAGCAAAATTGAGCACCCAGATAATAGCCAAATGCTCAACTCTACCGGTTATGTAATGGAAGCATGCATATAAACGCTGTCCACAAAACAACAAAATTAAACAAAAACAGACCCAAATTAACAAAATTCAGAATACAAGCCTAGCTACGGTAGACCTCCAAAACATCTCACTTCTTCTTTGCTGCAGACTTGGTGACCTTGGCACCTGATGGATCCTTCTTCTCAACATTCTTGATGACACCAACGGCCACAGTCTGCCTCATGTCCCTAACAGCAAAACGACCAAGTGGTGGGTACTCTGAGAAAGTCTCAACAACCATAGGCTTGGTGGGAATCATCTTAATCATACCAGCATCACCATTCTTCAAGAACTTGGGCTCCTTCTCAAGCTCCTTACCAGATCGTCTGTCAATCTTGGTCAAGATCTCAGAGAACTTGACAGCAATGTGGGAGGTGTGGCAGTCAAGCACTGGAGCATAACCGTTACCAATCTGGCCAGGGTGGTTCATGATGATGACCTGAGAGGTGAAGTTAGCAGCCTCCTTGGCAGGATCATCCTTGGAGTTAGATGCAACAAAACCACGCTTGAGATCCTTGACAGCAACATTCTTAACGTTGAAACCCACATTGTCACCAGGAAGAGCCTCCTGGAGAGCTTCATGGTGCATCTCAACAGACTTAACTTCAGTGGTCAGTCCAGTGGGGCCAAATGTAACAACCATACCAGGCTTGAGGACCCCAGTTTCGATACGACCCACTGGGACAGTTCCAATACCACCAATCTTGTACACGTCCTGAAGTGGCAGACGGAGGGGTTTGTCTGTGGGCCTCTTGGGCTCATTGATTTGATCAAGAGCCTCAAGGAGGGTTGGCCCCTTGTACCAGTCAAGGTTGGTAGACCTCTCAATCATGTTATCACCCTCAAAACCAGAGATGGGGACAAAGGGGATCTTGTCAGGGTTGTACCCAACCTTCTTCAGGTAGGAAGAGACTTCCTTCACGATTTCATCATACCTTGCCTTGGAGTATTTTGGGGTTGTGGCATCCATCTAAAATGAATTGCACAAAATCAACATAAGTTCCAATCCCGGACTACGATTAAAAGCAAAATAAACTAAGAAGTATACAGCTTACAACCGCAGTGATTAAACTCATGTTTAGCTAACCTTGTTACAGCAGCAGATCATCTGCTTGACACCAAGGGTAAAAGCAAGAAGGGCATGCTCACGAGTTTGACCGTCCTTGGAAATACCAGCTTCAAAACCACCAGTGGTGGAGTCAATGATAAGGACGGCACAGTCAGCCTGTGAGGTACCGGTGATCATGTTCTTGATAAAGTCACGATGTCCAGGAGCATCAATGACAGTGCAGTAGTACTTGGTCGTCTCAAACTTCCACAAGGCAATATCAATGGTGATACCACGTTCACGCTCAGCCTTGAGTTTGTCAAGCACCCAGGCATACTTGAATGACCTCTTGTTCATTTCAGCAGCCTCTTTCTCAAACCTCTCGATCACACGCTTGTCAATACCTCCAAGCTTGTAGATCAAGTGTCCAGTGGTGGTTGACTTTCCGGAGTCGACATGGCCAATAACCACAATGTTGATGTGAACCTTCTCCTTACCCATTTTCAAGATTTATAACAAAAGCTGGAAGAAATGAACAAAAACAAAAAGAAAGCCATCAATATGTGGTTCCTAATAAGGAATAAACAGAAAAATAACCAAGTAATAAATAAATAATCCAAATCAATCTAAAAATTTACCGATAAGTGAATCCACTAGTTAAAGACCAAATGTTCAGGAAAATATCTTATCAGACAATATATCAAAATCTCAGCACCAAATAAAAATTCAGCATTTGATTAGAAAAAATGAAATGAGTATAAAATAAGCATACTTGATATACATTTAGCATGTGATAGTTAAATCACAAAGAACACAAAATTAACCACCCATCTAACAAATAAACAAAAAATCAGAAACACATAAATCATATCGACTAATTTATAATGAAAATTCAACTTACAAAATTTAAATTCTACGATATTAACTCAGAACATTTCCATATTTGATCATTTAAAAATATCAAAACTAGTATAAAATAAGGAGAGAGATCTGAACCTGAGAATGGAAGTTGCTAGGAATCTCTCGCAGTCTAGAACTTGACGAATCGGAGAGAGTGTGCAAGAAGGGTGTAAGGAAAGAAGAGTGTGGTTTTTATAAAGAGATTGACCAGAGTGCTGTAAGGCGTTTAGGGTTTTAGCCTCCACCGTTGGATTATGGAGACAGGATCCAACGGTTCAAAATATCTGGCTGCCATGTCGGATGGATGTCATGTGACTCATGTTATGCTTTTTGACTTTAAAAGAGGTGCTGCGCACATAGTATGGCAGCCCTTAGAATATTCATACTTGACGTATTTACTAAATTATCCCTTTTTTTTTTTTTTTTTATCTTTTAAAGAGAGATCAATTCATAAAGTTAAAAAGCTCATGAAATCATGGACTGGGAAAAGATTTATTTAATAGTAAACTTATGAAAATATGATTTTAATAAATAGAAATGATGAAGTAAAATTTTTAAGATATATCATAAATAACATTTCAAAACTTCTTTTGCAGAAAAATAGTATAGGGGACATATTTAATGAGTAATACTACACCAATAATCATCTCTCACAAACTTTCTCTCACAATCCTGACGTGGCAGCTTGTAATTAATTAATGAGACTCATACAGGACCCATGTGGGACCTATTATAAAATGACTAATTACAAGCTGTCACGTCAAGATTATTAAAGAAAGTTTATGAGAGAAAGTTTATGAGAAATGGTTGTTGGTGTAGTATTATTCTTATATACTATATTAAGTTTTATGTCAAATGGAAGAGTAAACGACCTTTTCCCACCCAAGGTTTGCCTTAATGACACTTTTCTACCAAAAAAGTTTTAAAATACCACTTTTTCATCCAAATTTAATATTTCATTACTACCCAAAGCCGATTCCTACGACGAAAATTCTCTCTGTCATCACCATTTGAACTTCTGGTCTCCTCTCTTCTAAACCCTTCTCACTTCGGTACCTGATTTTTTACTAATTGTCGGTCATCGCAAAGCTAACATTTTCTATTTTTAGCTGATTTTCGGTTAATTCCGATGATAAATATTCAATCGATCACTATCATTCGATCAATCGGCTTTTACTGTACAAAACTTTTTTTATTTTAGCTCCTGGTAACTCGCTGAATATTAGCTGAGAAAGTGAAATATATTTTAAATATTTACAGAATATAAACTTTAAGTGGAAAAGTGGTATTTTGAAATTTTTGAGTGAAAAAGTGTGAGCAGTCAGCCAAAAATGGGAATAATGGATTTGCTGGTAACCACTATTTTCAGGAGAATCTAGGAATATCCCAAACTTGAAAGGTAAGCAACCAAGACTTTAAGGAATTCTTTGCAACCTTAAATGGCGCCCACAAAATGTGAGAAAAAAGAAAAAAAAAAAATGTTAAAGAAAAACTTTGATTAACTGTTTAATATTATATTAATACATATGTCACTGAAAGGAGACCGGGCATCTTTTGTCTTGTTCAAGTTTCTTCATATATGATCGTGTGGTAGACGGACGCATCAGCATGGTACATGCTGTAGACAAATCCCCAACTTGCAGCTTACTCCTCCTCTGCTATTTTATATATATATATATATATATATTTTTTTTTTTTTTCGATGCTCATGAGTTTCTTTCTCCAGACCTTAAACTATTAATCAAATAAGAATTTCAATGGTTATTTCTATTAGTATTCGAAGAGAGATTTAAATTTAAATCTCTTAAATAATTATTTAGAACCTTTAACGAACCGCTCAATCACTCAAGATATTTTTTGTATTATGTTGGATATGATTAATGGTTACACTCAAAAAGCAAACTCCCCCGCTTCATTCTGCCTGCATCGGCTCTCTGCTTGGCTGCTTGCTACTTGTGCGATATTTTGGAAAGGTGTGATCACAGTATAAAACCGTAAAATATTGAAAATACAATAAATGTATTGATTGTTACCTAAACTGGTTTGTGTTTGAATCTCCAAGTCATCTTCGAACGCATTGGAAGTGTTTGTCTTGCAACTCCTCCAACCATTTATATGCTGCTGATAATTTACTGCATTGAGAGTTTTTTTTAATTATTATTTTATTTTTATTTTTTTTTGATTGAGATATCTGGGTCAGTTATTGTACCTCAATTAATCTTACGGACTCTAGAACTATTAGCCGATAAGAGTTCCAGTGGCTATCCTACCCCTATTAACACGGGGAGGAACTCGAACTCAGGATCTTTGAGTATACTCAAGAGCCCTTGTCGAATCACTTAGTCACCCAAAGATAGTTTAATTATATATTGAGATCTCAACATACAACTCCACACATTCTTTCTTCGACCTTAGGATCAAACAATCACGACAATTGAGTTACAAAACACATCCTATGATGAACTATAATAGAATTCTATCATTAAAGGAGTGTTTGTCTAAACTTATAAGCTGATCAAACTAGCTTAACTCTAAAATTAAGCTGACCTATTTGTTTATAACTTTTTTGAATTTATAAGTTAAACTTATGCTAAAAACATAAGTTGGGGAGATTTTTTTTTTTTTTTGGCTTATAATACTCTCTGCTTATAAACTAATTTGACTAAATATATTATCACATTATCCTTATTTAAATTTAAAATTCTTTAGTATACCCTTGTTATGTAGTACTCTTTTTAGTATTTATAATAAATATATTATAAGCTATATTTACTAAACACGTCAACTACTTTCAATCACTTAAAGTATTTAACCAATATGTATTGCTTAAAATTTCTTCATAAGCACAGACAAATCTCCTAAATATCAAGTCGTTATATAAGTTTTGTATCTGTTAGAGAGAAAAAAAAAAAAAAAAATGGTGATGATAAAGGTTCTCACTGCCAAATAGGGTGGGCGGTTGGTCGGGTCTGCAATTCTCAAACCGGGTTTAATCTAAAATCGCTCATCGTCATAGTCATAGCAGGGCTCAAGATCGAGGTCTCTATTGGAAGAAAGAAGACGATACATCCTACAACTCAACTGAAGCAGAAGCCTCAACCATCAAATATGAGAAACCAAAACAGTCCATCTTTTATTCTTACTGCATTTATTCTTCTTCTTTCGCTTACTTTAACCCTAAATCATACAAATCCGAAGTCATAACCTTAACTCCTGACACTTCTCTCTACAAGTAACAGCATGCGTAATCCATATCACCATCTTTTGCTTAATTTCTGACTTATTAGTTTCTTTCATTTGTGTTATATATAATCATTATGCTTTTTTTTTTTTCATTAGATTTAGATGGGAAAATGTGTGCCGGCTTTAAACGTTTCAGTATACAGAGATATTTAGGATATTCGGAAACGGGTGATATTTGATTGTAGATTTTATGAGAGTAGCTATATTCAAATTTGTTTTTGTTTTGTTGGTTCTTCATGATTTTGAGTTCATTATGGATACCGAATTGAATGATGATTGCGTAATCAAAATCATTGTAGAAAATAAAGGTGATGTTGATAGAGGTTTAACAAAGAGGGAAGGGAATTGAGAAGGGATCTTAATGCGGTGGTAATAATAACATTGTGTAGTACTGCAGGTGAGAAGGTTGTTTGCATTTTTTCATTTGCTCTATGCGCAGGTGAAGAAAAGACACCGCATGGTTCGTAAAATTTTGTGTTCCTTGTGTAAGCATTGGTAATTTTCTGAACTTTGTCATCTGTGCTCTGATTAGGCTAGGTTTGATTTTAGATGTGTTCGTTATGTTTTTTGTGTACTAACAACTGACAATGGATTTCAGTAAGAACTTGGGAACGTTATGGGAGGACCTGGAAGGCAATGGAAGGAGATGATGAATAGGGTTGGAGTGACTGTGGTGCAAGCAAATCTGTATGCTCCAGCTGACTTCATTCCTTCCTACGTTCAAGGGGTTTTATGACGGTGAAGAAGTTGCAAAATACCGGGTAAAGTTTAAGCTTCATTCCTTTGCTAGATGGTTTGTTTGGTTGGTTATTTAATGTGATCTGTAATACTTATTACCATTCACTCTGAACATACTCTCAACAAGCCTTCAATTTTGGATGATCATTAGTTAAATCTTTATTTGCTATTGGTAGCCTTGTTTCTATTACTGTTATCTGGTTCTACAACTTATCTACACCTTTTTTTTCTCTCACAGGGAGGTTGCATTAGTATTTAATAAAAAATTTGTGGTTTTAGTATCGATTTAGATGGAAAATTAGGGTATTAGAAGATTAAGTAATCTGACTCCAAAAGTGAGAATAAAGAGTCTTCAGGGGCTGGAAGGTAAGATGCTTTGAGGTATCAGTAATAGTTATATGCATCCAGAGAATCCTTTCTAAAATTGGATGACTTAAGTTGGTATAGCAAAAGAAACTTTACATGGGTGATTACGTGGACATTGTTGCCCTTCTTTGTGAAAGCATTTTGATGGCCCAAATCTTATTTGCAAAAGCTTTCTGAGTGCTTATGTGCCAGTTCAGTTTCTAAAAGCACACAATAGAAAGATGCACTAACTTGGGCACTTAAAGGACACAACTGCTGTTTGCTAACAGTTCTGTCACCTGCATCCTTTTTAGTTCCTGATGGAGACAACTATATCTTTTGTAAAAAATAAAAATAAAAGCTATTACTGGTAAATTAGCTAATTAAAAGACTCTGCACAGTAAAATATTTTGATCAATGAACCCAAGTGCTACAAGTCCAGCTTTGCAAGTTGTTCTCACAGTTGAGCTATGACTGAAATTTGAAGCCCCATTAGTTCAGTCGTTGTCGGTATGATCTTGCTTAGTTCGGCTTAGCTATATATTCTTTCTAATTAAATTACCAGATAGAGTCAACTTGCACAAAGAACCATCTCTCTCTCTCCATCTCTGTCTTTTTTTTTTTTTCAATGGAAGTGCAACGGCATCTTGAATAATGAAGATTGAGATACTTGACTTTGCTGGTATTTCTTGTCTCATATGCATTCTTGAAAAAATGATTATTTCACTGCCATGTTGAGGCCACAGTTAAAAGTAGATGTTTTTTATTTTCTCATGCTACTTTATCCATCAAGTTTTGTGTTGTGGTTTAGCCTCCATATAGAACTGTCAATACATCTGTGAAGGGAAAGAAAAAAGCTAGTCTATTTATTTAATCTTATCATAAAATTACT